AGATTATCAGATATGCCGGGCTATCAGAAGGGAGGGCTATGAGGGGTCTGGAGTGGGGTGGGAGGAGATGCCACTCCAGACCCCTCATAGCCCCCCCTTATGATAGTCCGGCTCTGCCCCAGGCGTCCCTGATTCAGCCGCTGTTGGTCAGTTTCAGCAGCAGCTGAATGGGGGAAGCCTGTCCGGCTGCCCCAGCACTTCCGGGTTCCTGATGGTGCTGGACCATCAGGAGTCCCGGAGCATTGGATGCCGGACTAATGGAGTTTTACTGTAGTATGTTAACTACAGCAATGGTAGTTTTGGCAAATGGCAACTGATGTTTATTCAGAACAAAAATGTTTAACATTTCAGATGTTGCTAATCAGCACACAGTAAGTATGTACATAATTTTCTGAGGAAATCTCTTTTGGGGAAGAAATTTCACAGTCTTGAGTTAATGTGAATGTGAACAATATACTTCAGATATTTTCCTGAATATTCAGGATATGATAGGTTAGTAAATACAAAACAGGGATATGGATGTGACTATTGAGTTAGCATTATGAGACATACCGTATTTTCCGGCGTATAGGGCGACTGGGTGTATAAGACGACCCCCTATCTTTTTAATTAAAAGATAGGGTTTCATCTTATTTAATGTGAATGTGAACAATATACTTCAGATATTTTCCTGAATATTCAGGATATGATAGGTTAGTAAATACAAAACAGGGATATGGATGTGACTATTGAGTTAGCATTATGAGACATACCGTATTTTCCGGCGTATAGGGCGACTGGGTGTATAAGACGACCCCCTATCTTTTTAATTAAAAGATAGGGTTTCATCTTATACCCCAGCGCCCCTCCGCCTCCTTTGCTCCCGGTGTCCCTGGTATATCATATTTCCATTAATAGTGTTAATCCTCTCCTTTTGTTTGAGATCTAAATTTTGACCACTTTGACCAAAGACAGAAAACAGAATACCTATTACAATACAGTAGATCTATTGTATTATACAATTCATGGCTCATGAATGAAGACAGACTTACAATTTTAATCACTCCTATTCCAGACATCCTAAATTCCTTCTTTATTTGCATAAATGATTTGCACAGAAGAAAATATGTTTTTAAAATGTCCCATATTTGCCCACCTATAGTTCCTCTGCATTACAGTATACATTACTACATAAACATTAGATAATTTGTCCTCATAACACCTCATAACATAATAAATTATCTTCATTTTATAGGTGTAGAGAGAAGTCACTCACTGGTACTAGAGATTGCAACTGAACCCAATTCTTGAACCCAATTCTTGTGTGTCCTAAACCAGAGCAAGACTCTAATCACCAAGTCACCTTCACCTTCCAAGAAATTGAAAAACACAAGTTTGAGCACTTTGCAATATGCAATAATTCAGTGACAATCTATAATAGCTCTGATATGCACCAAACTGCAGCACCTCTGGTACTTTCAACATTAAGGTCTGTACAGTGAACAGTGGTCTGATTGCATCCTTGCCATCATAAACTTCTGGTCCTAGAAAAAAAATGTTACTTCTCTGTTCAGGCAAAATCTCACAAATAGTTTAACAGGTAACATTACAGACTGGGAGCGAAATGAATTGTTCATGTTGGCTGAAGTGCCTTGTTATGACAGTATCTCCAGCAGGGCCCAAGCCTGAAAAACATTCAGACATAACACAAGATCCTGGTCCACATTTTTTAGAAAGCTTCCCCTCAAGAGTAAGTCAGAAAAATGGGAAAATAATACAGGGAGATTGCACATGCGCGCCTGGGATGCCCCCCCGCCGGCTTCCCCCGAGGCTTTCAAAGCCGCGGAGGGGCTCCGGCGGCGGTGCATCCGGCGTACAAGACGACCCCCGATTTTGGGGGGATGTTTTTTAACATCAGAGGTCGTCTTGTACGCCGGAATATACGGTAGCATTCTTTTACTCTTTTTGAATATAGTTTTCTGATTAAAATTGTTCAAAATATTTGACGTTTGTGGGTTTTTTTTTAAATAGCAAACTGACACCACTACATAAAGGATACATTAAAAAACTGAGAGTCTCTCAGATGGCCCACAGTGCCACAGCATCTATGTACCTGAGAGAGTGTGTTTGGTTCTTTAAAGTTACCAAGCTTCATCAAGCATTATGTAGATTAATATAAATTGCTGATTAAGTTTTGCATGTGAAAGAATTGTGATAGCAGACAATTGTTTTAAAAAAAATCTTCAGTTTACATTGTTTCAGGGTTTTATGCTGTCTCACAAATTTTTTCAGACAAGTTCACTTCATTAGCTTATTTTCAAAACTGGGTGTTATAGACTTATGAATTATCTTCCAGGATTGTCTTCCAATAGTGCAGAGGATAGGATATTGAGAGAAACAGCAAGCAGCCCTTGGGACTCTTCAGCTTCAACACCTACCACTGCTCAGCAGAGGCATGAGAATTCTTCTGAAGTTTCTGAATGTCATCTGTCTGCAGAAGAGAATTTTATCTCTAACAGAAGTCAAATTCAGCAGATCATAGACAAATACACAAAAGATTGGAACTGGTTACCTGAAAAGAGTACATCTTTCCATGGTAATAATAACCTGTTTAGAATATGGAGACTGAATACAAGACCTAAAAATATACCGTGCAAAGGAGTTTAACAAGAACATGCCTTTAGTGGCTTTTAAACTGGCTTTCCCCTCCACTGGCTTGTGCTCCTTCCCACTCTCTCCATCCCCCTGATCCTTCTCTCTGATGGAGGCAGCAGGGAGAGTGAAAGGGGAGCAACTAGCCACTCTACTACTCGATAAGCATTTGCTTATCGGGTAGTTGACTAGTTGCTTACATCCCTCATTACTACCAAGTGTTTAACTTCAGCATTTTAGTTTGTCACCGTCCTGGAGTACTTGAAAACAATCTAAGTTTTTACTTTCAGTTGACTCAGCACAGTTTCTATTGATATGGTATGTACATGCATCACTTCAGAGAGACAGTGATATACGCAGCCTGTTTTAACACAAAATACTTTGCAAAAACTATTTATATACTTATACATTTAAGTTTTATGCATTACCTTTATAGCACCTGAGGTATAGATGCCAGGTTTGATTTTTTTTTAAATAATAAATTTTCCACTTTTTTTTTTTTTTTAAAAGCTCCCGCAGTTGGACTCAGTTTTTCTGATATGGAAAGACATTTCCCTAACTTTCAACGTCAGCTTTTTCAGCCTTTGGAACCAAGTCCTGACTATGGTACCACCTCATCCCTTTTTCAGCATAGGATTTCTCAAGACAGCAGAGACTTCAGCAAGGTATTACACAAAGTTTTGAAATATGGGAATGTTTTGCCATGCGGTTTATATAAGGTTACAGTGTTTTGTGATTAGAAACTTAATCTTTTGACATTTATAGGATATATAATGGGCAGTTTGTGTTTTTATCTAAAATTGACAGTGCAGTTCATAGCTAAATAATTTGCTATTTGTGATGGAAAGAAAAGTTAAAAATTACTGTTGCAATTTTTCTCTTATTTCTGAGAATATTTAATCATGATCAATAACAAAACTCTTTACTGTGATTCTTATGCCACAAGAGTTTAGCCATCTCAACTCAAAGTCAAGACACGCCTGAATTTCCTCAAGCCACAACCTCTAGCTTGAAAACAAGTTACAATCTGCATTCTTGTCTCAATAGAAACAAGCTAAACAATACTACATCACAAGCAGAGGAATCAATTAAGGAACATGTTACTCTAGGTATGGATCTGTTTTTAATGTCTAAACACTAATATTTGTAGTTTGGTCACCTGCAATTGTTCTTTTGAAGTTAGTGTGACAGTGCTAGCTGTTAGTTATATACGCCATCTTTTTATAATGTCATAGCTCAGTTGTTTATTCTGTGCCCACATAGTATTGTTAAACAGCAGAGGGTCCACAGATGAGTTTTTTCAGTTTTTCTGCTTTGGGTAATATTCCCAGGAATTGCACAGTTCAGTTCTTTGCCTTCCCAGTGATTAAAATTCACTGACTTTGGTACATATGTTCTCAAAGGAAATATGTAATTTTTATATTCAGGCCACTCTGTAATGTGCATTGCTTATTTACTGATACAGTGCTCTCAAACAATAGGAAAAATATACTGTTCACTTTAAAAGCTGTGGACATCCATACTGTCTGTCTAACCTTGCTGTCTTTAGGTATTACAGAGCTCCAGATGCAGAATGTATGATGCTCAATAGCTAGACATAATGAAATTATTGAAGGATTGAATTTAAATTTTGTAATTTTAGCTTAAATCATTAATTTTGTTTAATTCTAATAAAGTCTCTCTCTCCAAAACCAATTATTTCAAAGTACTGAAAATACAACAAATAAAATTGTGACCTGCATTACTGTGGCCATTTTTAAAGCTGATCAATTTTTAATCTATTATCTGAAGTCTCTTTTTAATCAATGACTAATCTGAAAGTATTAGTTTTTCCTGTGACCTTCAGTTTTTTTGCTATTTCTGTTCACTGTGAGATGACTCCTTGTACAAGTAAAACTATAGATATTTTGCTTGTGTAAAGGCTTGCAGGATTTGGCTATAAGGAAATATTTTGAACGTCATCTGCGTATCACAAAATCTGTTTGTATGATGTGAATCTGTTTATCAGTTATGTCTTAACGTTACCACTTTGAGACACGGATTTGAAAGAATGTTTCTGTTAACTTCCAAATATTCTCAGTTAAAAAAAATAGAATAAAAAACCCTTATGAGACATAATTCCATTGTTGTAATATCTAAATGCCCCCTAAATATAATCTGTTTTGTGTGTACAGATCTTAAGGGAAATTGAAATGGGAGTAACCCACCTGCTGTAATTGGTCTTTATGGAAAACTTCAGGCCCTGTTCTGATTTGGATGCTTTCATCTGTTAATGTATACAGCACCAATATTTTTTTTCTTTTGAGAGGCCTAAATGCTAAGGATTTCTCATTAATAATGGCCTCCAAAGGCCAAATTCTCTGCTTGGTATAAATCAGTGCAGCTTCCTTGACTTCAGTGGTGCTGTGCCAGTTTATACCAGTGGAGGGTATGGTTCTAAACATTCAGGGAAAAAGACATGTTACTATGTCAAGAAATATATAAAGCTATTAGAGATAGTGTTTAAAAGAAACCAAAATTCTTCTGTATAACATACTTATGTAACAAGTATTTTTAAATTGTACTTTCATGTTTAATACTATTTGGATATTTGGCTATGTAGAAAGAATTTAATTCTGATACACCATATTGACATAAAACACCATAATATATTAATACATGTGAACATTATGTACTGGAATTAAATTACTGTATTTAAAACATTATGGCTATTTTACTATGCTTGTCTTAACTCTCTGTTGAAATGCATAAATAGCTACTTTCTACACTATGGCTTCTTTTTGAAAATAGTGTGTAGTTAGACTTTTCTGATAGTCTGGTTTTTCTAGCAGGTTCTGAAGAATCTTTTCACCCTCTTCACTTGGAATCTACCCTGAATGAGCACAGCCAGAGTACTGAACAACCCACAGGTCTTTGCATTGTATCTGAACAAAATTCTAAAATTAAAAAATCACAGAATGGGGCCTACATTTCACTTGTTGGAGACCAGTATGAGGAGCTAATGAGAAATATAGAGAACACTAATCTTCAGTCTTCAGTAGAAAATCTGCAGAGTCCAACTTCAAGTTCACTGGCAGAACAGGATTCATTTCACCAACTAATTACAACACAGGCTACAGAAAATGAGATTCTCTTGACTGAACGTTCAGTAAAAGAAGTTGTGGAACTGAGAGAAAAGAACTTGTGCTTTGAAGAATTACCTGTTGTGGCATCCACTAAGCACACTCAGCTTACTGAAACCCCAGTTCTTAGAAATGAAGCAAATAGGATTGTAGAAGGGGACCATTCGCAATGCAGTATAAATATATTGAATGAAGAGCAAAGCATTCTAGAAGTACAGATATCCTCTAGAATGCCTACAGAAATGGAGTCAAAAATTTTGGGCAGCCCTTCGCAAGTAGCTGTACTGCAAAATTGTTTGCCAGAAACACCCCAAAATCAAAATTCTCATTCAGTGATTACAATAAGTTCAGGCTCTCATACTTCACAAAGTCGTGTGCCAGTCTGGGTGAGTAAAGTAAAGATTTCACAAAGTAATTGTTAGCAAGTTAAATGCCATGCAGATTTCAGCCAGTTGTTTCAAACTTCTTTAGACTGTCATTTGAAAATTTTACAAAGTTCACTTTACAGTTTTAGTGTTTGACTTCTCAAAACTTGTATAATTTAATCTGAAATTATACTGATCCTAGTCATTTTAGATCTAGATTTTAATTGAGAAGGGATTAGCAATTATGGTAAAGGGTGATACAGTTAAAATGTTTAATTTAGTATTGTAAGAAAATAACAAAGCTGTGCTATAAATGTTGTTCCCATAAGGATCAAACAAAAACTACTTTTGTTTTCCAAAAACTAGCTTTCGGGATGTGACTGAAACAAAGAGCTTCAAAGGGATCTCACAAAACTGAGTGATTAGGCAACGAAGTGGCAGATACAATTCAGTGTTGATAAATGCAAATATATATTGGAAAACATAATCCCAAATATATAATAAAATGATATCTGAATTAGCTATTACCACACTCAAGAGACAGATCTTGGGGTTATTGTGGATATTTCTCTGAAAACATCCACTCAATGTACAATGGCAGTCAAAACAAACAGTGTTAGGAATCTTTAAGAAAGGGATACATAATACAGAAAATATCTTATTGCATCTTATCCATAGCACGCCCACATCTTGAATACTGTATAAATGTGGTCCCCTCATCTCAAAAACGAATAGTGGACTTGGAAAAGGTTCAGAAAAGGGCAACAAAATTATTAGGGGGTAATGCATATGAGGAGAGGTTAAAGCAACTGGGACTTTTCTGTTTAGAAAAGAGGAGACTGAGGGGGGGATATGATAGAGGTCTATAAAATCATGACTGATTCAGAGAAAGTAAATAAGGAAATGTTATTTAGTCTTTATAACACAAGAACTAGAGGTCATCAAAAACAAATTAATAAACAGCATGTTTAAAACAAACAAAGGAAGTATTTCTTCACACAACACACAGTCAACCTGTAGAACTTCCTGCCAAAGAAGGTTGTAAAGGCAAAAACTTTAACAGGTTAAAAAAGAACTAGATACATTCATGAAGAATCATCCCATCAATAGATATTAGCCAGGATGGGCAGGGATGGGATCTCTAGCCACTGCTTATCAGGGCTGGTAATGGATTACTTAATCATTACCTGTTCTGTTCATTCTCTCTGGGGCACCTGGCATTGGCCACTATCAGAAGATGAAACTTTGTCTGACTCAGTAAGGCCGTTCTTATGTAACTTACGTTCCAGTTTAGGAGAGGTGTGGAAGGGAGGCTTTGTACAATGGCAAATAAATATTTAAGTTGGATTGGTTTCCTTTGGAGTTCTGACTATATTTAAAAAAGTGGGGAGACCATTTTGTCTGAGGTATTTCTTTCACTGCGTGGAGCAGATTTTCTTATCTATATGTTGAACAGCCCTTTTCTTTTGGCAGGCTAACAAATGTTGCTGTTCAAGAAATACTGATTTTTACCTTAATGCTGTCTTCTGTGTTTTCTAGGAGACAGAGTCAGGGCAAGGTATTATGGAAGAACCTGAACTGACGCTGTTAAGCTCAAATGACGTCAGTATTGCAGAATCAGACTGTGAACACATTAGCCAAGAGAAAAAAAGAAAAAAAAAGTTGGATAGTCTGGCATATTCTGGTCAGACTGAACTTAAAAGTTGTTCTGAGGTAAATCTTGATTCTCTAATCATTTTGAGCCTGGTACTGCTGATATTTTTTGATTTAGTAAGTATAAGAAGAAACTTAAACATTTTAAAGGATATAATAGTATTTCAGATCTTTAGCATGTTTTGAGTTTTTCTGATTTGCAGATGTTTGAGCCCTTCAGTGGTAATGCCAAAGCTGGTAGATTGGACTAATGCAGAGAACTGAAACTCATTTCGTTTCCTTCACTTAGACCTCTGTAGCTCAGTTGAGATGGAGTACTCCAAAGTTCAAATTGTCAGGGGAACAGAAATGTCCTGACATTAATATTAAGGCTAAGCAGTAACCCATTCCTGGACGACTTGATGGGAAAAGCAAAAATCCTTTTATCTTACTAGAGAAAGGGAATCCCGGTATTGGATAGATGCATGCTTCAGAGTTATCTGCAGTTCTCAGGTAGACAGAAGAAGGTGGGCGAATTGCATTACTGCTGTAGTCTTCTATTATATAGGTTGTACCTTCCTGTCTCTGGCACCCTCGGGACCCGACTGGTCCCAGATAAGGGATTTTGCTGTACCAGAAGAGGTCATTTTTGGATTCCTGCCACTGGCCGCTGGCCTCCCAGCCAGCTCCCCACATCCTGCTGGCCCTGTCGACCTGCTGGGCAGCCTTCGCTGTCTTGACTCTGCCAGGCAGACTGGCACTGGGGCTCCCCCAGGCAGTGCCATGCGCTAGACAGCCCACTGCACTGTCGGCCCCACAGGGATCCTTACTGCTGGCCCTTCACCGGGACTCTCTGGTCTTGCAGCATCCATGCCGAAAACATTGCTGGACCAGAGAATCCCCGTTAAGAGTGTTTGAACCTGTAAAAGTGGCGAGGAGTCCTGTGGCACCTTATAGACTAACTGAAGTGTTGGAGCATAAGCTTTTGTGGGCAAAGACCCACTTCATCAGATGCGTGCAGACTAACACGGCTACCCCTCTGATATTTGAACTTGTAGTATCCTTTGGTGTCTCTTTTTTGCTCAGATTAAATGAATGAGGTCCTCAAATGCCTGTGGGTAGTGAATGATTAAACCAATTGGCGTGAGTATGCTGTTTCAGTTCTGACTTCAGGCTGTCTTAGTCTAATGTAGGAAACAAAATGATTTGAGCTACTGTAGCAACTGTTCTACCCTCAGGATTTTTCAATAGCTCTCAAAATGTCCATGAGGATGCTAATGATAAAGTTGGGTTTTCTTTGACCTACATCATTCTGTCCTTATCAGATGCTCATATGTTGCCCACAAATTGTCCCTTGCCATTGCCAAACTCGACAAATAATGCCAGTTAGGATTAAACCATTCTGACAGTGGATGATAAGAAGGTAATTTATTCAAAGAAGATACCTTGTCTCAAGACTATGTGGATGATGGCAGTATAGTTGGTGCCAGCTAGTATTATAAAGGAGCACTTGTATAGAAGGTCACCTACATTCAAATTAATATCCTTATTCCAGGAATTGTGACAATAATTCAGTTACGAAGGGCATAGCTCCTGGGTCATGAAGGTGGCTTTCAAGAAGCAATTAGATTCTGGAAGAGTTTGAGAAATAGACAGTTGTGGCAGCATTGTGAAATAACATCTGAGAATAGAAGGAGAAAAAACTGTGTGAGGGTATGTCTAGACTACATCCCTCTGTCGCCAGAGGGATGTAAATTAGACATACCGACATTGCAAATGAAGCGGGGATTTAAATATTCCAGGCTTGATTTGAATAAAAATGGTCGCCGCGTTTTGCCGGGTCAGCATTTTGTCTGCAAAAAGCGGCTGTCAAGACGGATCGGGCGACAAAGAAAGCCTTTGTTAACTGATCCCTTATGCCTCATAAAACGAGGTTTACAGGATCGGCCAACAAAGGCTTTCTTTGTCGCCCAATCCCTGTCTTGACAGCTGCTTTTTGCAGACAAAATGCTGACTTGGCAAAATGTGGCGGCCATTTTTATTCAAATGAAGCGCAGGATATTTAAATCCCCGCTTCATTTTCAATGTTGGTATGTCTAATTTACATCCCTCTGGCGACAGAGGGATGTAGTCTAGACATACTCTGAGATAGCATAAGGGAGCTAGAGATGGAACAGGAAGAAAAGCAAACAGGAAGAAAAGCAAAGTAAATGAGGGGAAACTGCAGAGTCCTAAAAGCAAAAATAAGAAATTTGAACTTCGTGGGGAAGGCACAGCTTTTTTGTTAATTTTATTTAATAAAATGGCTTTTAGTGCCAAGAGCCTGGCTGTTGTGTGCTAAATAATTTTTCTTGCATCTGTGCTAATAATGAAAGATGTAATTCCATTCACTCCTTAATTGTTTGCTCTTTGACAAAAATAGAGCTGCATTAATATTACTTCACTAAAATAGATGCGTGTTCTAAGTACATTTTACCAATCCATTCTTCTGTCTTGGAACAGGGGAGAGAATTTTTGCCTTTAAACCCAGAAGCAGATTACTCGGTTTCCATGCTTTCTGACTGCTCTGCAATAGCTCAGACTCCTAATGAGGATCAGTCTGTTACACCAATCTGCAGGTACTCGTGTGTAACTTCTGTACATTCAATCACACACTATCTAACATCCCTACCTTTCATGTACAAGGATGTCAAGTATCGAGTAAATGAGTAATCGTTTACTTGATATAATTTGTATCCAGCACATGATTAGTCAGTAACGGGCCACTGCAGCTCTGCAGTTTAAACGTAATAGGAGCTGGGCATGCAGGCAGTCCAGCTCCTACTCATTAAACTGCAGAGTGAGAGTAGGTTTGCACCTGGCGCGAGTTTCAGTCCTGACTCGCACTAGCTCCCATGCTGTGGCTCTGCCTCCCATGCCCCTTTCTTCCCCATACCACGGGGACGATGCTGTGGAGAACCAGCTTTTAAGCTGGCTCCCCCAGCACCAGCTCCTGCTTCCCTGCCCCCCTTGATGCCTCTGATATAGTCAACTCGACTACGCGATAAGCCTGGGCTTTTACTACCCAATAAGAGTATTTGACTACTCTTTTACATCCCTAGTTGTGTAACTGCATCAAATTTTAGCAGTTACAGAACTATTAAATAGTCCCTGGAAGCAGGACTGGCAGTCAGTGCACTCCTTGCTCCGCTTCCAGCTCCACTCCCGGGGAGTCCCCTGCCACCTCGCACTACTGCCTCTCTGTCAGAGGCAGTAGCACAGAGTAGCAGGCGGGAGATGGTCTGCAAGGGGAGCTGGTTTAAAAATCGGCTTCCTGCACAGACTGGCTGCTGCCCCGCACTGCTGCTTCTGATATAGAGGCAGCAGCGCAGGGTGGCAGCAACCTCTGTCTTGAGGGGGAGGTGTCCAAGTGCCCCATGGACAGAAGCTTTTGCACAGCAGCAGCCCCTGTCCATGGGGAGCTCTCTCCATGGGATGCCAGAGCAGCCTCCCCTGCCACCGCCCCGTGACCCTACCCGCATGCTGCTGCCTTTAATAGGCAGCCTCCCCTCCTGCCCCCTTCACCCTCTGTAGGAGGCTGCAAGTGGAAGCAGGTGGGTTCACAGAGCCAGCACATGTGGAGAGCAGCAAAGAGGGGGCACAGAGGCAACAGGGGAGAGAGGGTGGGAATGTGTGTAGTAAGCAGGATTAGCTAATAATCCCAGGTTTATCAGTTAATCGTGTAGTCCTCTAATGAAGGGTGTCTAGTACACTTTGGGTAATTATTAAAATAAGTATCCTCTGACAAGCTAGGTATTAGAACTATAAGCAGTATGAAAGATGGAATTGGACAAACTCTGCCTGGTGCTTTTGAGTGTTTGTAGTTTGGACCCTAGTGTTTATAATAAGATGTAATAACAGATGTAGAAAATATACAGTTATATATACGTGATGGTTAGCTTTATTATAAATGTAGGAACTGTACATCTGAATTACTGTTTTAGTAAATTTCTTAATTCTCCAACCTGGTTCAATCCATGAAAATAGTAAAGCTCATTTTTAGGATGGTTATCTATATTAATAGGTTTCTGCAGGTGATTATCTTATCAGTGATAAAATCAGAAGTGCTGAGACTGACCTTTCCTCCTCCTTCACAGTCATGTTGTTAGAGTTCACATCCACACCGTGTACTTTACAAGAATCGTTTTTAAAGAGAAAAAAAAACTTTATCCAGAAGTCCTCTAAAAGAGTGGAAGAAATAAAAAATAAAGAGAGACACTCTGAAAAACCTCAAGATATGTTGTTTCAAAGGGAAAAGGCTAAAAGATTTCATATGCTGAAGGAGCATTCTCCTACTTCTGGTACGTTTCATTTGGAAGTAGAATAAAGCATTATGGATTCTTCCTGTAATTATTCTGTAAAACAGGATGGATTCTGTTGTTCTTGGATCTTTGCTCTTGAAGATTAGGATATTCTGTCACAGGGTTTTCACATTTTTTCCCTGCCTGGATCTCAAAAGAAGAAAGTCTGCCCCATAGAATCCATTCTGCCAGCCTTTTGTTTTTCAGACTTGTTTTCTCCAAAATAGGAAATGTGATTTAATCTCTGTTGTTTTTGTTTCAGATCTTACTACCTTTTGAGACTTGGATCTTTGCTCTTGAAGATTAGGATATTCTGTCACAGGGTTTTCACATTTTTTCCCTGCCTGGATCTCAAAAGAAGAAAGTCTGCCCCATAGAATCCATTCTGCCAGCCTTTTGTTTTTCAGACTTGTTTTCTCCAAAATAGGAAATGTGATTTAATCTCTGTTGTTTTTGTTTCAGATCTTACTACCTTTTGAGACTAGTGTTCATTGGGCTTTTTTTTTTAAACTGATATCTGTCAATCATGAAAAACAATTTTGTAGAAGGCATAAACTTGTCATGCCAAGATCAGAGACATAAGTACTGAGACTGAAAGGAAGTTCAAAATCTCAGTGCAGGAGCAGTCTATGACTTCAATCATTCTTTATTAATTTTGAAAAAGGTTTTGGTATCCAGTGGTCTTCAGAGAAAATGTTTTTAGACACTTGTTTGTCTATATGGTTTTTCCCTTGTGGCATTACTACAGAGTGAAGCAAGATAATAAAAAATAGCCTAATGTTATAAAGTGTTGGTAGAGCTATTTCACAGGTAGCTGTTATGGTAGGAGGATGTGTGTTCTTTATTTATACTGCAAAGAATTATTTCCCTGAAGTATTTCACTTTAGTCCATAAAAACTGGCATTTCCTTCAGCGCGTGTCAGTCCAGCTTCATAAATTTGTTTTATACCTCTTCCTGTGTTTTTCAGGCACTGTTGCATAGAGCTGCTCTCAAAATCTTATCAATCTGCAAGAAGCCTGATGTAGTGGAATACTTTGCTCATGCTATCAAACTGAGGGAGTCATGGATGCAAGAAAGTATCCAAGACTAGTCCTCCTATATCAGGGTATGTCTACACTGCAGAGTTTTTTTGGAAAACGGCCATTTTTTAAAAAAAAGCTTCACTTATGTCCACACTGCAATCATGCTCTTTTGGAAAAAAATCGAAAGAACATGAGTTTTTCCGACATTGGTAAACCTCTTCCTATGAGGAAAAAGCCATTTTCCAAAAGAGCTCTTGGAAAAAGGCGTGTATGGATGGGGAAGAGGGAGTTCTTTGGAAAGAAGAGGAAAGAGGAAAAAGCATAGGTGCCCTGGTGGGCACTCCGTCCATAGTAATCACAGCTGAAATGCGAGATAGGGTTCATTCAGTGTGGACGCTATCTTTCAAAAAAGCAGATGCAGATGCATTTTGCTGTGCAGACGCTCTCTTTTGGAAAAAGCTTTTTCAGAAGATCTCTTCTGGAAAAGTTTCTTCTGAAAGAAGCCTGCAGTCTACACAGAGCCTCAGTGATCTCCAACCTCTTTATGCTTGAGATTACTTTTTGAATTTAAGTGCAACCCAAGATCTACCTGAAATCCAAATACCTTTGCCCTGTCTTCTTTGTGCCCCTTCTCTGAGGCCCAGCCCCTGCTCCCTCCATCCTCCCTCCTTTTCACTAGGCTGGGGCAGAGGGTTGGGGTGCAGGCTCTGGCCTTGGATTAAGGGATTTGGAGTGTGAGAGGGGCTGTGAGCTGCAGGCAGTTGGGGTGTTGGAGGGGATTCGAGGTGCAGGCTCTAGGAGGGCATTTGGATGCAGGGGTGTTTGGGGCTAGAGGTCTAGGAGGGGGTTCATGACTGGGGTAGGGTTTCAGGATGTGGACCCAGCTGGGCACTGTTTACCTCAGGTGGCTCCTGGGTGGTGGGCCAGTGGGGCTAATGCAGGCTCACTCTTGTCCTGGTCCTGCACCACTGCCAAAAGCAGCCAGCAAACTCCATCCTAAGTCCTGTTGTGTCTCCTCTCTGCTCTGTGAGGATAGGATACAAAGCAGGAGAGGAGTCACCTTGACATCAGGGATGGTCTAGACAGTTCTGGGTCCTGCCGTGAGGGCAGGGGACTGGACTCGATGACCTCTCAAGGGCCCTTCCAGTTCTAGTGTTCTGTGATTCTATGATCAGCTCCCCTCTTGTCCCTCCCCTGCCCTGCACAACAATCAGGAGGCTCGTGAGGGGACAGCTCCAAGGCAAAGGGCAGGAGATGCACAGCAGTGTGTGGAGGGGAAGCTGAAGTGCCAGCCCTCGATAGCCTCTTGGCCAAACCAGTCAGGATCAGCTGTCAGAGGCTTCAAGATCTACCAGTAGATCCCGATCTGCTGGTTGGTAAACACTGCACTATAGGAACTATTCTATATTTTCAAATATAGTCTCTTCATACATTTAGCACAGTCACAAACCACCCAATTCCCTAAGATAAATAGGGAATGTACATCTATATTTCTATACATATACTCACATTATTCCTTCTAGAATAACCTGAAGTGTTAGCCATCATCTTCATCATCACCTGCGGCCATCATTCTGGCACTTCCCTAAGGACTGCATCTCCTACTATAATACCTAGGCTGGGATGCCACTTTTATCATATGTTACTCTGATGCTATGTTTGATGTATATTCTGTAGGGGGTGTGTTCTTTTTTCTTTATTTGTATTTCCTCCCCTTACTAATAAAGTATCTTTTTCCAATAGGTCTGTATATCATTGATCTCAACTTATTATATATGTCAGTTTGTTACCATGGGCCTTTTGTGGTTGTCTATCACATTTATTGTTTCTGTCCTACTCAGTTATTCAGTCTGGTCTCAACCAGTTATTTTGGGTTTTTCTAAATAACAATGTACCTGCTAAGTTGTTCTTTGTGTAGTGTCCCCGTGGGTGCTCCACACTAGGGGTACGTCTAGACTACATGCCTCTAGTGACAGAGGCATGTAGATTAGACTACCCGGCATAGGAAAATGAAGTGGCAATTTAATTAATCGCCGCTTCATTTAAATTTACATGGCTGCCGTACTGAGCCAATCCGCTGTTTGTCGGCTCAGCTCAGTAGTCTGGATGCTCTGCAGTCAACATCAAAGGCATTTGTCAACCTCCCAGGTATGCCTCATTCCAGGCATACCTCCGCCTGAGGATGATTTTGTTTGAAAAGACTCTACAGCCTACAGAGGAACACGGGAAACCGCAGCAGGAACACGCACACCCTCCCCCCTGCCACCCAAAGCTGTAACAAGGCAGAGAGCCTCACCTTCACTCTCTCTCCCACCTTCCTCCTCCCTGAAAAGCAGGGGAGAGACGCATGGCAGTACGAGGACCCCTGCTAATAAAGCAGTGGGAAGATCCTCGCATTCCGCACCGGGACCAGTGTGCACTGCTTCCAAGCGGTCCCAGGAACACTCTAAACACCCGGCTGGCACTGCTTCAAACTGTGGCACTATTGAAAGCTCTGGCACCACTGAAAGCGGCGGCACCGCTTAAAGCCTCAGCACCACAACACAAGAAACCCCATACATCTAAGCCGGCACTGGCTACAACGGGCCACAGGCAGCAGACAGTGAGAAACATCCTGATGAGGCTGCTACAGAACAGCCCCAGGCAGCATCTGACACTCGCAGCCGGCAACAGCATTCATGCCTGCCTCCCACTGACTGCTCACCTGGGAGGTCTTTAGCAAGAGAGTCCCCTCCCAGGTCTATATCTCCAATGTCCTTTCAATGCGCTTCCTTACCTGATGATTACCGGCACGTGATATATTCTTTGAGGTACGCATCGCCAAGGAGGTCTCGCTCTTACTACTATAGGGCTGGACCACAACAAAGCCCATGGCACTCCTACTGGCCTTATCTACCCCCACCTTACCCACCACAATGGGGGCCTGGGATCGCTGGGACCCATATAGACACTGGTCCTCAGTCCACTCCACACCATCCTGAAGGAGCCTGCCTCAGCCACAGGGCCCTACCTCCTGGAACACACGCAGAGGAGGAGGAACAAATTTCAGACAACAAATCAGACATTCACTCAATAAATATCACACACTCTGACAATCTAAGTGCCCAACAAGACAACTTGATTATACCATCAGATACCCTAGCGATTGATGACCTCAAACAATTTCAAGAATTATTCAAAAGAGTAGCAACAAGTCAACATGTCTCCCTCCAAGAAGTACAAAAGAAACAACACCACCTGCTAAAGAACCTGCATCCTACATTACATAGCAAGATTGCCCTACTAATAGACGAGGCAATCATGGAAACTTCAGAGGATCTGTGGAAGACACCCACATCCATTCAACCAACTAATAAGAAGATTGACAAAGTACTTCGTTCCACCAAAAGACAATGTTTACACATCCACAAGCAAACTTGACTTTCTGTTTACACATCCACAAGCAAACTCTTTAGTTGTCGAATCGGCACAGCAAAGAGCAAAGGACTGGCAACACAGACAAGGACCTTAAAAAGCTAGACTTATTTGGCAAGAAAATATACTCCTCTTCCACCCTACAACTAAGAGTATCAAATTATTCTGCTCTCATAGCAAATCATGATTTCGACAGTTATTTGAAGTTAGAACTGATACCACATCTTCCTGAGTCCAAAAGACCTATCTTGAAAGCGAAAGTCCATGAAGGCCAGGCGATGGCTCGCACCACTCTTCAGACTCCAGTGGATGTTGCTGACACTGCAGCCAGAACTACAGCTATGGTGGTAGTGATGTGCATAACTTCTGGCTACAGTTATCCGGAGTTCCCCAGAGAACTTCAGCCCGAAGTAGAAGCAAAAATTATTTGCCGCTTCTACAGATGAAATGCTCCACAACAGTAAGAATTCAAAAACCACACTTCACATGTTGGGCTGTACACACGCATTACAAAGGCAGATGGTACATCCCATATAACACATATGGACAATACAACCGACCAGAGAGGCCCTATGAAGACACCAGGCTGAAACAACGACTTTGGAGGAGGTGCCGTAACCAGGGCCACCCACCAACTACTCAATCCTCTAAGCAGCAAATTTGAAGATGTGGTTGAGGGTCTGCAAGACCTCCCTCATGATCTAGCAACAACACAACATGGCCACCTTTTTAACCCACAGTTTACTGCTTTTCCTTCCACAGTGGGAATCTATAACATCAGACTCACAGGCTGGGGCGGCTCCTGTGAGACCCAGGGCAGTTCCAAATTGAGGGGCAGGTTTGAGTGGGAAGGAAAAAAAATCACTTCCACGGCCACCTCTCCTAGTTCGTTTCCTCTCCGGCAGCCTCCCCGAGGTGCTTCAGCAGGGAGGGTGACTGAACCTGGAGACATGCATTACTCCCACCCCCGCCAGCAGCTCAGTACAACTTATCCCCGTTGCCCCTTGCCGTGGCTCTGCGGAGAGGAGCTAAAAGGCGGTGAAGTGGCACAATAAGCTTTGCACAAAAAGAACCGCCCCTGCCCCCCCGGATCAGTGATGTAGTGGCGGGGGGGAGGGTTGCCCCCGAGCGCCATGCTAGAGGGGCGCTGGGATGGGATGGGAGTGCACAGCCATACACAGTGAGCCTGGCACTGGTGGGCCACTTGCTCCCTGCAGAAAGCCACCAAGGCAGGGCCGGGCGGCGGAAGCAGGGCCTTCAAAGGTAGGGTTACCGTATTTCCTGTGCCTGGCTCTGGGGAAGGGGCAGTGGGTTAGAGCGGGGGACCTGAGCGTGCCTGGCTCTGGAGGTACTTATAATTTTGTTTTTAAAAGGGGGGTACTTTATTTTAAAAAGTTGAGAAACACTGCTCTATCTTACCGCCATCTATCTAGGTGAAAGACCCCGAATATATGTGAGTTAACTGTACTATCTGGATGAAAGCTCCCAGACAAAAATACTAACTTTGCCTTAACTCAGTTTTTAGGAAGTGGCCTGTAAGTCTCTTGTGTTACAGCCAAGCTGCCAGTATAAACCTACTGTAACTCATTATAATCAGGGCTCGACAATCTATGTAATCTACTTGCCCATGGCGAGTAGATTACAACTCGGAAGAGCCAGGTTCGGGCGATCTGCACATACGCAGAACGATCTGCACATGCGCAGAACGCCAGACAGCACGGCTGGCGAAGGGGGGGT